TGAGTTGGCCGGGTCCTGAAATGAGTCCATTAGGAGGTGCTGGGCCCAGTGCGGGACATGTAAGCTACGGTTGCAAGTTATTTTCCCAACCCTAAAGCATTCATGTTTGAGTAGAGTGGAAATCCTGGCAGACTGAGATCTAATTGCAGGCTGTTGAACTTGGGATCAGGCCTGAACATGCTTTAAAAGAATTGTTTGGTGAAAAATCAAATCGAATTTACCTTACCCTAATACACCCAAGAAATTTGCTTCATTAGTTTTGCAGTGCAGTAACTGATGCTATTACCCAGCCAATTAGAACCATACAAGCTGCATTCCTAAATATATCCAACTTGCCACAAACTATATCAAGTTGTGTGATAATATAGACTTGATTTTGTGGTTTCTGACAATGTATAGCACACTGTTATATAATGGACACAAGTACATAGCACAGGGTGCCTATACATCCTCCTCTTTTAGGACATGTCATTTTTTCAGGACCTAAAAACACGTCTGACTGGGATTTCTAAATTGACTAAAATGTCTGGGAAAGCTTTGCTTTCAAGTTGACTTTTGCTTTCGACAGTCTGCCACATGCTCACTTAGCAGAGCTAAAACCAGTAGTACCCGTCATCTCGAAGTCTAAACTTTGTCTGTACTTTTAGAGTGAGAAGAAATAGCATACAAAACAGTCTAAACCAGCTTTACAGAATGACCACAGTCACAGTTTGCTGTGGTCCTACCCTACGTATCGTGTAGCTACAGCACTACAGTGAGATTCAAAGCAGTATGTCAGCTATCTCATATAAGCTGTGGCTTTAGCTACAGAATTTTGGACAAGCACAGATAAAGGCCTCTCTTTATCTAGATGGGGGATGACAAAGTGCACCAGCAATAAGCTGGAGGGTATATCCATAACGCTGGGGACGAACAAGCTAAAACACCTGGGTGTCCGAATGAACTGCTTCAGAGGACAGGAGACACTGCAGCGGTGTGTCTCTCTCATCAACAGATGAGTTTATCATTGTGCTCATTGCAGAGGCCTTCTAGCTACAGGCAGAACCTGCCCAGAACTCCAGCTCAAGTTTTCAGCGTTCTTGCCCCTCCCTCAATTAGTCTTCTCTCATTCTACCACCACCTGTTGAAGGCATGGTCTGAACTTACAAAGTAACGTTTTACCACCTTGGCTGTAAATATGTCTCAATATGTACTAATGTCCTAAAATAGGCTAAAAAATATTATATAAATGAAAATGCAGACTTACTTTACTCTGCTTTAAGCTTTAGCTCAGCTATAGCTGCTTTTCTTGCATCTCCAGCAGGAATCTTTTCCGCAAAAGACTATATATGTATGTATATATATATATATATATATATATATATATATATATATATATATATATATATATATAGGGTCAACACCCAAAAACACATACCCAACAGAAACAAACAAACAAACAAACAAACAAAAACAGTATCACTTTACTTGATCCCTGCTTCATAACCTTGACATAACCATGCCATAAACATGCTATGGGAGATGTCATGTGCGAGTTGTCTTGACAGTCCTGACATTATGGTTAGCCTTTACATTATGGGGTGCTTCTTTAAACCTTATAAAGTTTCTTCACACTCACAGTACACTTACAAAAGTGGTTATGAGTGTGTGCTGTGGCCACATGCAGCAATTATAATACATTCCAATATATGCCAAGTGGCTGAAAGCATGTAGGGACTAGGCTTAATACCACAGAGATAACCAAGTAATCTCATCCTCCCTGAGGCTAATCTCAAACCAAATGTCATGTTTCTCAACTTCTGCTCTGCTCTGTTTAATGGGCGCACTGGGTACCACCGCCCCTCATCCAGACTGGACGGCTGAGTCATACATTTATCTCCTCTAACCGCCATCCCCAAGATCCTCCACCCCCAATCACACATCCATCCCCGCCATGCCACCCACACGGCTGGCTAATCACAACATTAAAAAGTGATATGGAGATTTGGAGAGGTCTCTGAGGTCCATGAGAGGGCAAAGATGCTTAGTAACGGCAGCCCTGGCCACTTGCTGAGGTTCTGTGTGTCATCAAAGGAGGGATAGGATTAGACCGAAAGCTCGCACGCGGAGCTGTAGCGTAATGGATTAACTGTGAGAGGAGGATACCGAGGGTCTGCGGTATTACCATTAAGGATGCTTTGCTTTTCAACAGCTCAGGATCACATTCTCTTTTAAGAAGCCTACAAGAATCAATCTGAAAACAGTCAAGCCGCAAGAAATGAAAGAGTACAGAGCTGCTAGGAATAAGACATATCATCACTTGTTTTCAAACATTGCACGGAACATCTGTGAGGTTAAAAATAAGCATTCAACAACCTCCAAGTGTCTCATCTCGTAATTTCCCACCCTGAACATCCGTTCTCTCAGCCAGGTTCTTGCTCAGGTGTGCCACTCTGATTTAGCAGGTCCTAAAAATGAAGAGTTTCTTTGGTGCAATACCTTAAAAGAACCACTTTTGATTCCCTAAGGAACCCTTGAAACGATGCTTATTGAACCAGTCCATACAATGTAAAAGTTCCATCCCAGTTAAATCATTTCTTTAGAACCATATGTTCAAACCAGGAACCTGTCAGGAACTTTTATGTTTAGTACTCCTTCTGCTTCCACTATGGGCACTGGGGGCACATGAAAAAAATAAATTTGAAAGGAGGGGATGCGCTCAGGCGGAGTGGAGGGAAGATGAAAGGAGGGGTTGCGGAGCTGAGGCCTTGCAGCTGCGGGACTGTTTAGAAGACACAGTTCATTACCAGCCAGCCCTTATGAGTCAGCTCCTCTTCCCAGGGTGAAGAAGACCCACATGCAGGCTTCCACCATTAGCTCGGCGCTGACTGGTGGACACTAATTGCATTCTGTCTACTGACGTTATCTAATCAGACTAGCAAGAAGTTGTTCAATGCAAACACGACACAAAGAAATGAAACGACCAAACAACTTTTTACTGTCTCACCATTGCTCACTCTCTCATTTACACTTTCTCACAGCCTCAGCTTCTATCTCTTCACTGTTCCATCTTGACATTGTTCAAAGCTTAACCAACATAATTTCCACCTAAAAAAAAGGTTTCAGGCAACATTTACATACTAAAAAACTAGACTCTTAAAAATGAAGAATCCTAACTGGTTCTTGGATGTTTGGTTCTAGGAAAACCATAAAAAAGGTAGTTTAAAGGTACAAAAGTGGTTCTTCTATGATGTCACTCAAAAGAACCTTTACTGGCACTTTTATTTTTAAGAGCGTACTACATTAGGACAGTCATAACAACATGCTTCAAAGGTGCCAAAAAGGGCTCTTTGTATGATGCCATAGAAAAAACACTTTTGGTTCCCTAAGAAAACCTTGTAAATGAGACATGTGAGTAAGAAGATCCTATTGAAAGTTTAAAGAACCTTGATATATGTCCTATTTTTAGATCTCTACTTTCCCCAGTTCTAGCTGTAGTAAAGATGTTACTTTGAACCCATGTGGATCATTTCAATGCCTTCTGGCCGCACGGATGTCATGTACATATGCAAGCAATATGCAGCATTCTTTGGCTTAAAAGAGCACCAGGAAAATCCACACCTTTACATACACACTAGCACTCCATCAAAGAATGTAATATAAAGATTCTAGGAAGAACCCTTAGATTGGTATGGAACTTTCATGTCAAGGTTCTTTAAACTTTAAAAGGTTCTTCATACTCAAAATCTCTTTTTCAAATATGGTTTATTAAGGAGCCAGAAGTGATTTCTCTAGGGCTCAAAGAAGTCTTTACAGCACCTTAATTTTTAATAGCGTTTAAAACAATTGGACAGTCATTACAGAACCAAAAACCATAAAATGCTAATAAGATGTTAAGACACAGAGGCAGACATGAGGTAGGAACAAAGCAGTCAGCATATCACTAAAGCGATGCATAAATCCCTCTAAGGACTTAAAAAGCGAAGGCCTTAAACGAGAATTACAGCCCACTGACCCGTTCTGCGTGGTCTATCAGTGCAATCCAGGCGCGCTGCCATTCTCAGTTCTGTGTTATGACAGAAACTGCTCTGGACTTCAAAAGGCAGCTGATCAAAGCAGCAGTTGTGTGCCGGAACGCACGGTTTGGTTATTGCCCCAGAGTGTGACTCACACCCTCGTGTGGGCCTGGCAGCGTCCATCTCCCGAGCAGCCGAGCAGAGCTGCGGGGCAGAGCGGCATGCAGGCAGCAGCTTCAGCACCACAGAGAGCGACCGGTGTGCAGGTGGGAGGCACAGAGAGGCGCACTCAGCCGGGGAGCGAGCCAGTTAATGAATGGGAAAACATATCAATAGGGGATGTATTACTGTAATCGCGTCGAACGCTCCGTCTCGTAATAGCTGCACCGGCGGTCTTCCTCTTGGCTCTCCGACAATATGGGGATTGCAATTACACCACTGCTACAACTGCCACAGGAGAAAGTCACTACTAGGGAAATGTGCTAAAAAGGCGAACACATCTGTTGGAGCGCATGAGTGCGTGTGAATGATAGGAGGAGGGACAGATGCAGTGTATGTGTGGCTGGGTATTTAACACTTTGTGGGGACCATATGTCCCCAGGATGATAGACAGTGTTGATGCTGTGAGGACGTTTTGCCAGTCCCCACCAGGAACAGAATGTGTTTTTTACAAGAAATAACAGCATTTAGCTGTAGGAAAACAGAAGTCAGCATACTCCAACGATGGGAATACAAAGGTGTGTGTAGAGGAGTGAGTTATACCTTTTATTGAGCCCCCCTGCCCTTGATATATGTCCTATTTTTAGATCTCTACTTTCCCCAGTTCTAGCTGTAGTAAAGATGTTACTTTGAACCCATGTGGATCATTTCATTGCCTTCTGGCTGCACGGATGTCATGTACAAATGCAAGCAATATGCAGTATTCTTCGGTTTAAAAGAGCACCAGGAAAATCCACACCTTTACATACACACTAGCACCCCATCCCAGAACCCTTCATCACTTACCCCAGTGTTGTCATGGTGACGATGGTGTACCAGAAGGCAGCAGGGATGCTGGTGAACTTGCTGGAGTTGGAGCCCTTCTCAGCGTAGAACATGACGGTGGCAAAGATGATGATGGCCATGGTGAGGGAGAAGAGGAGAAAGCCCAGCTCGGAGGCGCAGCTCTTCAGCGTGTAGCCCAGGATTCGCAGACCCGCCGAGTGGCGTGAGAACTTGAAGATGCGGAAGACGCGGAACACCCGGAGGGTGACAAAGGCGCCGCTCACATCTTCGTTGTCTGTCATGACCAGGCCGATGTAGTACGGCATGATGGCCACCACGTCGATGATGCTCATCACACTCTTCACAAACTTGTAGCGGCTGGGCGCGGCGATCAGGCGCAGCAGGTACTCCACGGTGAAGATCATGACGCACGCCGTGTCCAGACAGAAGAAGGCTAGCGCATACCGCTCGCCACATGACATTTCCCTGGCCCTGCTCCCTGTGCCACATGGCACCGTCTCCACCACATTGGCCATCACGGATACGGCAATGAAGAACCCCGTGACATAGTAGAAGACCAGGGCCATGGTGCTGGTGTGCGGGTTCTCAAAGGCGCGCCACATGGACTGGCGGATGGTCAAGTCCAACTGCGTCACATCGTTGCCGTTCTCGGTATCCTCGTCATCCTGGATGCGCTCGGCGTTCTCCCGGCGCCGGTCCTTGTACTCTTCGTAGCAGCAGTCGCCAATGATCTCAGGGATGATGCCGAAAAACGCCAGCTCCTCGTCATATGCCGAGATGCACTCGTGGCGCGGGTAGTGTAACTTGCCCGTGCGGTAGAAGTTGAGGATGTGCCGGAAGATATCCGGGTCACGGTCAAAGAAGTACTCGTTGGTCTCCTCATGGTAGAAGAAGTCGCGCTCTGTGCTGCCCAGCAGGGTGTCCGGGTACCTCTCTAGTGTGTTGCGCCATGTCTGGAACCGGGTGCCACTCACGTTCAGGATGATCAGCTCGTCCCGGGTGTGCCTCTTGTCACGTGGAGGAGGGGGCATGGGCGCGCTGGCCACGGGCATCCAGCCTATGGCCGCAGCGCGCGCAAAGGGCAGCCATGCTGCGACTCCGGCCGCCATGGTGAGCTGGTGGGTGCAAGGTGGTCTGGCTCAGGCAGACTCAAGGCTCACTCCGGGCTGCACTCACAGGTCCGCCACGAAGGCAAGGGACATCTAGGGACCAAAGACAGCAAGAACTAGTCACTAAGTTCCAAAGGCTCAGTGCAAGTGTTTTATTACACACAGTGCCAGATAGACAGTCTAACAAGCACTAGGAGATAAAGTAAAACGTGCTTTGCGCCTGACAGACTTTGTTAAATTACGATAAATAAGGGCGAGGAAAGAAGAAAAATGGTGTCACTATCAAAGGGGGGTTGCATCCGTGCGTAAAGCGAACGCTTCCCCCGTTCAGCCAGAACAGCTCAGGATAAATTACACGCATTTGCACTTTTCCTGACGGGGCTGAAACACATTCAACTTACCTCCACACAAATCCACTCGTGCTCTGAAAGTAAAAAGCCCAAAGCAGCTGGCATGAATCGCGGTCCTCTCTCGAGCGTTGAAACTATGCAGACTGAAAGTAAAAAGCAAAAAAAAAAAAGTGCCCTAAATGTTCCCCCGCGCTCGCTGCAGAGGCTGCAGCAACAAGTTCAGCACTCAGGTAGTTTGTGAAGGCGATTCGGGCGCAGCGCTCGGTCGCACTCAGCCAAGGGCACTTCGGAAAACCGTGCCGGCGCGCAGCAGCAGCAGCCTCTGCGTTTTACAGCGATACTCTCCAGCAGAGCCTCACAGCGGTCCATTCATACAACGCCGAGAGAGCCCCCCTGACCAGAGCGCGTGTGCGTGTTCAGTGTGAAAAAGAAATCCAGTCCGGCTCTCCGTGTCCGTCCCCGCTCGCTTCTACTCCATCCACCTTCCACAGGAACAGAAACACAATTCAACCAAAGCGTCACACAGAGGCTGACAGGAAAGCAGCGCTGAACCGGCTTCTACCACCAGCCCGAGACGGACGCGCGCGCTGCTGAAGTTGCTCCGTTCACCCCTCTCTCCGAGCCACCAGCAGAGAGATGTGCGCGTGCGGTGGAGAGCGCGAGCTTCTGTCCAAGGCGTGTCACGTGCTCAGTGAAACCAAGCCCCCCTCAGGAGCCGGCAGCGTGGTCGCTTACACTCCGGGAACGTAAGCTGCGGCGCAGTGTGTATGCGACAAAAAAAAAAGCGAAGAAAAAACCCAGAACCCCGCACCACGCGCAAAGTGGCTTGCGCGCGCTCCACGAAACCTCGCACGGTGAAACAGGAGGGAAGGCGTCGTAGTAATGCGCGTGACCTGAGCTGAAGCGCTGATGAGAAGAACAAGGGGGTGGTGGGGTGTGCGTGGGGGAGGTTGGGGGGTTCGGTGGTTTCTGCGCTTCTCGCGGCTGATGCGCGCGCAGATGCGGAGCCGCTAGATGGAGACAGCTTTCAGTGCCTCACTCACGGGAAGCCTCAAGAAGCTCAGCGCGAGGGGAGCTCGTTCAGTTGCTTCAGTCCTCACACACACATACACACATATGTGTATGTATATATACATGTGTATGTGTATATATATATATATATACATATATATATATATATATATATATATATATATATATGTTCATCGGTGGATCACTGGGAGGATCCTTTATAGATCAATTGATATATGATGAAAGATATATTCATTCTCGTCTTTATTATGGGTCACAATAGCATATAAGTCGTTATGGTTTAAGGATCTTGTGAGTGAATGCACATCCATATTAGACAAAAAAGAAACATATCACTGCAGGACAATATCACCAATTCTTTCAAATTTCAACATTATTAAATGGTCAAGATACACCGATCAGCTGTGACATTAAAACCACCTCCTTGTTTTTACATGTATCGTCCATTTTATCAGCTCCACTTACCATACAGGTCTACTTTGTAGTTGGTAGTAAGGACCCCCACAGGACCACCACAGGGCAAGTATTATTTGGGTGGCGGATCATTCTCAGCACTGCAGTGACACTGATGTGGTGGTGGTGTGTTAGTGTGTGTTGCGCTGGTGTGAGTGGATCAGACACAGCAGTGCTGCTGGAGTTTTTAAACACCTCAGTGTCACTGCTGGACTGAGAATAGTCCACCAACCAGAGTGTCCTGTGACCACTGATGAAGGACTAGAGGATGACCAATACAAGCTGTGCAGCAACAGATGAGATACTGTCTCTGACTTTACATCTACAAGGTGGACCAATAAGTTCTAATAGAGTGGACAGTGAGTGGCCACAGTGTTTAAAAACTCCAGCAGCACTGCTGTGTCTGATCACCTTGCACCAGCACAACACACTCTAACACACCACCACCACGTCAGTGTCACTGAATGACCCACCACCCAAATAACACCTGCTCTGTGGTGGTCCTGTGGGGGTCCTGACCATTGAAGGTCAGGGTAAAAGGAGGTTAACAAAGTGTTCAGAGAAACAGATGGACTGCAGTCTGTAACTGTAGAACTACAAAGTGCACTTATATGGTAAGTAGAGCTGATAAAATGGACAATGAGTGTAGAAACAGGGAGGTTTTAATGTTGTGGTGTATAAACAAGTCATTCAGAGTGGTTTGATGTGGAGTGCTTCATTCTAGAGAAACTTACCAAGTCAGAATTGTTTGCAGTGTGTATGACAGGAATCAGACATCTAAAACATTTAATGCCTTTAAAGGCTCCCTTAAGATAGTTCTGAGAAGGTTTTATTCTACAAGATGTTTTTAAAACACACTTTATGTAGGGGTACATAAAGGGCTTTGTAAGGCAACATAGTCCCAAAGAAATCTTTTTTTTTTTTTTTTTAATTTAATGCAATTTTACCATTATCAACATTACATATAAAACCTTAGAAGACACATACAGTATGGCTGCTGGTGTTTGATAGTAAATAAAATGGCTGTATGCATTTGTAGACATTGCATCCCCTGGTTTCCATCACCACCACTGTAAAGAAATCTGAGTTGGTAAGTTTTGATACAATGATTTCATTTTTTTCATATCAAACCACTCTGAATTTGTTTGCATCTTAAGGACTGAATTTTGATCAGTGGAATTCATCCTTTAGTCCAATGGGAGGAATCTTTATAAATTAAATGATATTTGATGAAAGATTGTGAATGATTATGAGCCAGACAATAGCATATAGTGAAATAGTACATATCTTATGAAGTATCATTGTGATATGTTGAAGATCTGTAAGTTCATCTCAGTTTGTCTATGTGTGAAAGTAAATGCTCAGTAAACTAAAAAATATGTAGGCCCTTTTTACTACCAGAGTGCTGCCTCTATATTGTTGCCAGCTTCGTTTCTTAGAACAATGTTCCTTTGTGTAGGGAACCCACATGGGCACTTTCCACAGCTATGACAGGAGGAACACACCACTGGAGTTTACAGGGTTAAATCTCACGGCTGATCAACTCAAGCCTATCAGCATATCTCTGATGGTGGGGGAGGAGGGATGTGTGAGATCATGCTAACAAGATCATGGTGTGACTGGAGGTTCTTATGATTTGTGTGCAGGCATGTCCCCCAGGAGGGTGAGGGGACTTTTTCACGCTCCTGATAGAGTCTGGAGTCGCGACACTTTGTTAAGGTGCATGAGCTCCATCACAGCTGCAGCAGTCGTGTAAGACAGTGTGTGGGGAGCTTTTAATGAAGTATCTGCAGCCTCCAGTGCTTCCAGAATTAGACACTCACAGAAATTGGTGAGAAAGAGAGAGAGAGAGAGAGAGAGAGAGAGAGAGAGAGAGAGAGAGAAACATATGTAGATGGTTCAGTATTTCAGCACCACGGACAGCAACCTTCATTAACTGCTCTATCCAATGCTCCACCTACAAGTGTGTACTTTTGTTGTAACTGCAAGGCTGGACAAGCTTTACATAACACTGGAAAAATCCCGTTAAACCCAATGAATTCATAACAGAGGTTTGCTACATACGTTTCCAGTTTAACCCTTGTGTGGTATTGATGTGTTTGTTACTCAGTGGTCTGGTGGACTCACCACATTATTGTTTTATTTATTTATTTATTTTTTTTAAATCAACACAACCATAACAATTTATGTAAAAATGCCAGATGTTTGAAATATCACAAGAGCCCAGCATAGGGTTCTCCTTTAGCAGCTGTAGTCAGTCAGCAGCCTGTCCATGTTGTCCACCCTCTCACACACACACATATACAAACACATACACACACAGACACACACACACACACACACACACACACACACACACACTAACAGCAGGCCATGTAGGAGGAGAACAGAGTGAAGGACACAGCACCTCCACACTTTTATTCCCCGTGGGTTCAGCCAACACCACATGTGTAGTATATAAATGTGTGGGGGGTGAACAGAGTGAAGACACTGAAAATGTGTTACTTTATATGTCCGTCATAGAAAATGAGCAAAGACCAAGAAATCTGAGGTTGAAATAACAATAAATTGCATCACTTTTTCTTTTGGCGAACATTGAAAATGGGTCCCACAGACCCCAACACCAGGGTTAAAATGCTGTGCTACCAAGCTGGACTAAGCTGTAGGTAATCAACACTAATCAGGTTGGATATGACAACAAATTTGTCAAAATACTAAAACACAATAACACAACAAAAAATACATAAATTATATGATCTTTTACATGCATACAAAATAAGCATGACTTTATTTATTAAGAACACAATCTATAACCAATTAATAAGGCAATCTGTTCTGTAATAATATAATCAGTTTGCACTAGAGATTCTATGGTCTTTTTGCCGATGTTCTGTAAGGCTCGTCCAACCTCACAACAAATCCTGTGAAAGAACACAGCATGGATGGGTAAATATCAGGCAGGAGTGGTGGATTGAAGGGCTTTGTTAATTTAATGTTTGCTATTGCATCTCAGTCCACCTAAAGATAAAATATGCCCCCCATTGCCCCCTTAATAGTGCAGCGTTTTCTTATCTGGAATCCAAAAAAACGAAACGTCAGTGACATTTCACACAAAACCGAGTTGTAGAAATCCAAGCCTAGCTACAACCTGATGACTCATCTGTTGGAAGCGTATGTATGCCTTTCTTGGTGCATTTACCCGTGACTGCACATTCTGTCTTATTTATATGATTAACCAGGGAAGCTCTGTGTGCTAGTGTCTTATTTTGTTTACAGCTTCGCTCTGCCTTGGGTTGTTGCCTAAGTGGCGCCAAAACGTGCTGGCGTCACCATGGTTACCAGTAAATCTGGCTCCTTCCTGCGAGCTGTAAGTGTCTCCATACAGGAGAGCTCGCTGTCTCTTAACCTGCCACACAGGGGCCAACTTTTCACTTCAGCTGGAACCCACACGGTTTAACTCCACCACTCGTCCTCTGATTGGAGATGACCAGCTGCTGTTGGATTTGGTCCATCCCCCTGAGCCAGCCAACCATGCTTAAATGCTCTCATCATCAGCAAAGCTTGTAAAATCTATAGCGAACACAAAGAGATGGCAAGAAAATCAATTTCACCCATTTTACAGAGGCTGCTGCACACAGCACAACCACCAGTAGATCTTAAGTGATCCCTGTCAATGAAAAAAGAACATAAACAACATGACTGGAGAGGGATGGTGTGATCGAGTACCGAATGTTTAGAGTAAATCAAAATAGATTTCATAAATATCTACTAAAATCAAGCATGCAGTCATGCAAACCTTGGAAGTAGAATGGCCTGTACTGAAGAGCTCAGTGAGAGTCATAGAATGTCAGCTTTCCAAAACAGTTTATCAAATTTCTGCCTTGCTAGAGCTGCCCCGGTCAGCTGTTACTATAAAGCGGAAACATCGTGCAGCAACAACCACTCATTGTGAAGCAGTTGACCACACAAGCTCACACAACAGGACTGCCAAGTGCTGAAGCTGACTGTGAGCCCGGCCTCATCTCCCAAACATCAGTGACTAACATCACTAAAGCTCTTGTGGATGAATGGAAATGAATCCCCACAGCCATGTTCCCAAATCTAGTGGAAAGCCTTCCTAAAAAAGAGGCTGTTAGAGCAGCAAAGGGAGACCGACTTCCTTGGAATAAGCTGTTAAACAAGCACGTATGGATTTTGAGTTATTTTGTACTTTTTTACTTTATTAAAATGTGTATAA